AGCTTATGTTGACATACTGAAGTTGGAATTCCTGGCATATCTGTCGAAGTCCACGCAAATACATCATTGTTAGCTCGGAGAAAAGCTATCAGTTCTGCTCTCTCCTCCGAGTTCAATCTAGTTCCGATTTGCGTTTTTCGGCTCGGATCTCTGTCATCAACGAGCACTTCTTCAACATCTTCGACCAGAGCAGCTCTGGTTTCATCTTCTGATCGATTATCTACGATCTCAACACCCATAACTTGCTGATTATCAGAAATTTGCTGGGGAATGGCTTCGGGAGTCTGAGCTTTGTCCTTCATGGGTTGTGTTACCGAGGTGATATAACAGTATCTGGCCACCTCCTGGTTTCCCCGCAATGTTGCTATTCCCATTGGAGTGGGGAATTTCATGCAGAGGTGAGATTGGGAAACCACAGCTCGGATTTCGGTCAATGTGGGTCGACCAATAACAATGTTGAAAGAGGACGCCATTTTGACAACTAGGAACCGGATCGACGGGGTTACATAGGTTCTGCCACTTCCAAAAGCCACATGGAGAGTAAGAACACCTTCTACCAGAACAGGCTGGTTGTTGAAACCATAGATAGGACCATCATACTTCTATAACAAAGCTGGATCTAATCCCAGACTCTCGAAACAGTGGAAATACATGATGTCTGGTGCACTCCCGGTGTCAACAAGGACACGTTGTACTTCACAGTTGTTAATCATGACAGAAGTGACCAAAGGATCATTGTGGGGTGTAACAACTGTATCAAGATCAGCAGATGTGAAAGTAATTGGTTGATTCTTCCATTCAGCATCGTCAATCTTCTGCTTCTGAGCTCGGTTTTGATGTTTAACCTCCCTGACATACAGCTTTCGCTGCTTAGAGCTCAGTCCACCTGCTTCAAGGCCTCCCGTAATCATATGTATGATTCTAGCAGGTGGTGGGAGTGGAGGTGGGGTTTGTTGATATCCCACACCTTGCTTATTTGGGGGATTGTGGGCTCCTTGAGGCTGCGGCCTCTGTTCTCTAACAAACCTTGGCTGTTCAGCTCGCTGTACATACTCATTCAGCATTCCCTTCTGAGCTAAACTTTCCAGCTCGGACTTTAGACTGTTACACTGCTCTGTAGTATGGCCGTGATCTTGGTGAAAATCACAATATCTGGTATGGTCTCGACTAGCAGCAGTAGTTCGCATTGGGCCAGGACGTCTCAAGTCCATCTTATTTTTGATCTGCATAAAAATTTGTGACCTCGGCAGATTAAAGGGAGTCCAATTAACTGGAGGTTTACCTGCAGGTTGTTGCGGGGGAGCTGAGTTCGTCCTTCCGAATCTCGTTGGGGAGGTCAACATCGGACCTCGGTTCTGCGCCATCCTCATCCTTTTTCGGCTCGGATTGTCATCTCTCCATTCTGGGTTCTGGTTCTTAGAGGAATGTGGGTTTTGTGCCAAGTCGTATTCCTCAGCAGTTATAAATTTGAGAGACTTATCATTCACCTCGCTGAAGGTGGTGGCAGCATGTTTGATCAAACTGTCTCTGAACCTGTCATGCTTGAGACCAGAAATTACAGCTGCAATACCCACATCTTGGTCGAAGGAACTAACCTCCAACACCGCATCATTGAACCTGCTCATGTAGTTCTTTAGAGACTCTCCGTCCCTCTGTTTAACTCGCATCAATTCAGTGGTAGTTTTCCTAATCAA